TTTTTAAAACAAGGAGACCATGGAGAATATTAGGGATGGGGGCGCCAGACGATAGGCGGTCGATCGATAGTTGCGATCGATGGGTACAAGAAAATACTGGATACAAGGAACGAGATGCGGTTTTGGGAAGGTTCAAGTCTTTCGGGGAACTGTTTGGAGAACAGGTTAACGCAGCACAGCCATGGGAAAGTTAAAGGGCGCTGTCTGGGGGAGTCTTATGAGGACAGTTTAGGGAATGTTGAAGTCTTTTGGGGAACTGTATGGGGTCACGAGAAGAACGAGTTTGGCGGGGAATTTGAATAAACGAACAACAGGGGCGGGAAAATCTCAATTTTTAAACATTTCCGAAGAAAGGAGGAAATGTGAGGAGTCTTAAAACTCCCCCACAAATTCCGATGCAGGAGAGCTGCCGCAACAGGGAAGTATGCGAGAATGCCGGAGGAGTCAAGGGCAACAAGGTCAAACGGTAAACAACGGGCCTTGGACCCGAGCAAAGCAGAGACACCGTGAATTACCGGTAGCACGCTGGACAATGGACCTCACAGGGCAAGGGCAACAAGGTCGAACGGTAAATTGGCGGACTTCGGACCCGCACAAAGAGGACGCACCGCGAACTTACGGTGCGGCAGTGAACCTTGGACCCGATCACGCGAGCTGGAGAAGGGAAATAACGTGACCATCACAGGCTATAAAAAGGCGGCGCAAAGTAATAGTGCGAGAATCAGAGCGAGTGCGTGTACGCGAGACCAATAGCAAGTTAATCAAGTGCCGAGAACTAGGATCAAGATCGCAAAGTGGAGACGCCAAACGACTGAGAGTCTACAAGGCTGAGACTAGAATGCTGAGATCAAACGGGTGCTAGGTCGTGGTTAAATCGAGCTCAGGGAGTCCTTGTGTGGAATTTGCAATAAAGGTGACTGGGCGAAGAGGTCGAACCTAGTTCTACCTGCTGGGCGATACACCTTGCCGACACAATCCGGACCAAAATAATGGAGCCTGCGAGAAAGTTGGCTGGGCGAAGAGGCAGAACCTTTCTACCTGCTAGGCGAAACAACTTGCCGGTCCCGACAGTGAGGTTCGCAAAATATTCAGAGTGTCGAAGGAGCCGTCACGAGTCAGATACCAACAAGCAGTCGACGACGAGGAGCGACGCCGCGAAAGACAGCGACGGGGAACAGCAGTAGCGGAAGAGCCGCGAGGCTTGTATAAGGAGACGAATAAACGGTCAAGCACACACACACAGACACAAAGATCAAGAGCGCAAGAGCGGGACAGGGAGGGTTAAAAAGCCGTAGGCACCGTTTCCGGCTAAAATGCACACTTGCACGGTTTGCGTAGGAGGCGTGTACACAGAGGGCACCGTTAAATTTAAATATTACACGGGCACAGAGCGGAGAGCGAGTCCCGTTACCGGTACACGTCGCCGCCGAGGATGCGCGGAAAAACCGAGGTTTCGTCAGCGATGGCGCTGCACGGAGCAGGTCTTTCCAAAAAAGATCGTCACGATGACGATCAGCGCAGCAGCAGCAGCAACAAGCAAATGGAGCACGAAGTGAGTGCCGAAGTGGAGGCGGCACTCCGATTCCGTTCTGCAGCTACTGGCGTCCCCCTGGTGTTGCGATCCCCGTCACCGGTCAGCGAGGCTGACGCAGGGTCAAAGGGCGAGATCTCGGACGTGGATTTGCCGTCCGAGGAGGAAGACGCTGGCCCGAACGCGGCGGACCTGGAAGAAGTCATCGCCATCTCATCGGACGAGAGCGGACCGGTGGACGCGATCGAGGAGGAGGATGGGACGGAGACCGTCAGCGCGGAGGTGTCATCGGACGAGGACGACGTGGCGCGGCGAGAGGCGAGGGATTGCTTGATCATCCGCCGGTTGAGCAGGGCAACGGCAGGGCTCGGGCGGATCTGCATAGGGCAGATACCATCGTCGGGAAAGCCCAAGGAGTGGGCCGGCATCATGGAAGCGCGGGCGTTCACGGTCCGACAATGGAAAACCCGGCGGGTGGCGAGGAGGGCAGCAGTCGCCGCGTGGCAGCAGAGGCTGAGGGACGCCGAGGCAGAGGAGACCGCACTGTGGGTGCCGCCGCAGGAGCAGCTGCAGTCGCCGGAGTAGCCGCCGCAGCCGCCGCAGGAGCAGCCACAGCCGCCGCAGAAGCAGCCGCAGTCGCCGCAGGAGCAGTCGCAGCCGCCACCGCTACCGCCACCACGTGCGCCGACGACACCACCCCCGCCACCACGTGCGCCGACGACACCACCCCCGCCACCACCACCGTCGCCTTCGCAGAGGCAGCAGGAGTGGCACTTGCTACAGGCGCAGGGCGCGCAGGCGCTGCGGACCATCGTGGTGGAGGGGCGGCGGTCTCATCAGCAGACGGTCACGTGGACGTGGCCCGCGCCCGACGAGGCACCGGAGGAAGCTCGGATGTGGGAGGCAGTCGAGACCATCGACTGGTAGCTCCCACCGCTGATGCACCCGCGCGATCTGCAACGCACATCCGCGAGAGAAGCAGCGAAACGCGTCGCGGAGGCGGTCGGTCGCGAGGAGCAGAAGGCGACGACCGAGGAGGATCGCGAGCCCCAGGAGCCCACGGAGGTTCTGGAGAAGGGGCCATGAGAGTGGCCAGCACCGCCGGAGACGCGGCGCCATCCTCCAAATTCGCGCGGCAGACCTCGTGTCCGGAGCCGCGAGCCCCACCGGAGTGGCCGACTGCGGAGGCAGCAGTCGGAATGGGCGTGATGTGCTACCGCATCAAGGTAGCAGTGGACCGGGTGCGGGTTCTTAGGGCCTAATAAAGTGGGTCCCACACGTAAGACCAGCTTTTTTTATTTGAGGGGTCACAACATAACACAAAAAAAGTGGCCAGCAGAAAAACAAGGCTGCCGCAGGCGTATGGCGAGGGGGGTCACTCCCCCGGAACATGCGGTCCAGGGTCAGCACCCCGAGACATGAAAGGGGCATCATGATCATGGTGTCGCTGTAAAGAAAAAGGATTTCAGTTACAGGAAAATTGCAAATGTCAAGTTTACTCACCAGTTTTTTTAAAACAAGGAGACCATGGAGAATATTAGGGATGGGGGCGCCAGACGATAGGCGGTCGATCGATAGTTGCGATCGATGGGTACAAGAAAATACTGGATACAAGGAACGAGATGCGGTTTTGGGAAGGTTCAAGTCTTTCGGGGAACTGTTTGGAGAACAGGTTAACGCAGCACAGCCATGGGAAAGTTAAAGGGCGCTGTCTGGGGGAGTCTTATGAGGACAGTTTAGGGAATGTTGAAGTCTTTTGGGGAACTGTATGGGGTCACGAGAAGAACGAGTTTGGCGGGGAATTTGAATAAACGAACAACAGGGGCGGGAAAATCTCAATTTTTTAAACATTTCCGAAGAAAGGAGGAAATGTGAGGAGTCTTAAAACTCCCCACAAATTCCGATGCAGGAGAGCTGCCGCAACAGGGAAGTATGCGAGAATGCCGGAGGAGTCAAGGGCAACAAGGTCAAACGGTAAACAACGGGCCTTGGACCCGAGCAAAGCAGAGACACCGTGAATTACCGGTAGCACGCTGGACAATGGACCTCACAGGGCAAGGGCAACAAGGTCGAACGGTAAATTGGCGGACTTCGGACCCGCACAAAGAGGACGCACCGCGAACTTACGGTGCGGCAGTGAACCTTGGACCCGATCACGCGAGCTGGAGAAGGGAAATAACGTGACCATCACAGGCTATAAAAAGGCGGCGCAAAGTAATAGTGCGAGAATCAGAGCGAGTGCGTGTACGCGAGACCAATAGCAAGTTAATCAAGTGCCGAGAACTAGGATCAAGATCGCAAAGTGGAGACGCCAAACGACTGAGAGTCTACAAGGCTGAGACTAGAATGCTGAGATCAAACGGGTGCTAGGTCGTGGTTAAATCGAGCTCAGGGAGTCCTTGTGTGGAATTTGCAATAAAGGTGACTGGGCGAAGAGGTCGAACCTAGTTCTACCTGCTGGGCGATACACCTTGCCGACACAATCCGGACCAAAATAATGGAGCCTGCGAGAAAGTTGGCTGGGCGAAGAGGCAGAACCTTTCTACCTGCTAGGCGAAACAACTTGCCGGTCCCGACAGTGAGGTTCGCAAAATATTCAGAGTGTCGAAGGAGCCGTCACGAGTCAGATACCAACAAGCAGTCGACGACGAGGAGCGACGCCGCGAAAGACAGCGACGGGGAACAGCAGTAGCGGAAGAGCCGCGAGGCTTGTATAAGGAGACGAATAAACGGTCAAGCACACACACACAGACACAAAGATCAAGAGCGCAAGAGCGGGACAGGGAGGGTTAAAAAGCCGTAGGCACCGTTTCCGGCTAAAATGCACACTTGCACGGTTTGCGTAGGAGGCGTGTACACAGAGGGCACCGTTAAATTTAAATATTACACGGGCACAGAGCGGAGAGCGAGTCCCGTTACCGGTACACGTCGCCGCCGAGGATGCGCGGAAAAACCGAGGTTTCGTCAGCGATGGCGCTGCACGGAGCAGGTCTTTCCAAAAAAGATCGTCACGATGACGATCAGCGCAGCAGCAGCAGCAACAAGCAAATGGAGCACGAAGTGAGTGCCGAAGTGGAGGCGGCACTCCGATTCCGTTCTGCAGCTACTGGCGTCCCCCTGGTGTTGCGATCCCCGTCACCGGTCAGCGAGGCTGACGCAGGGTCAAAGGGCGAGATCTCGGACGTGGATTTGCCGTCCGAGGAGGAAGACGCTGGCCCGAACGCGGCGGACCTGGAAGAAGTCATCGCCATCTCATCGGACGAGAGCGGACCGGTGGACGCGATCGAGGAGGAGAATGGGACGGAGACCGTCAGCGCGGAGGTGTCATCGGACGAGGACGACGTGGCGCGGCGAGAGGCGAGGGATTGCTTGATCATCCGCCGGTTGAGCAGGGCAACGGCAGGGCTCGGGCGGATCTGCCTAGGGCAGATACCATCGTCGGGAAAGCCCAAGGAGTGGGCCGGCATCATGGAAGCGCGGGCGTTCACGGTCCGACAATGGAAAACCCGGCGGGTGGCGAGGAGGGCAGCAGTCGCCGCGTGGCAGCAGAGGCTGAGGGACGCCGAGGCAGAGGAGACCGCACTGTGGGTGCCGCCGCAGGAGCAGCTGCAGTCGCCGGAGTAGCCGCCGCAGCCGCCGCAGGAGCAGCCACAGCCGCCGCAGAAGCAGCCGCAGTCGCCGCAGGAGCAGTCGCAGCCGCCACCGCTACCGTCACCACGTGCGCCGACGACACCACCCCCGCCACCACGTGCGCCGACGACACCACCCCCGCCACCACCACCGTCGCCTTCGCAGAGGCAGCAGGAGTGGCACTTGCTACAGGCGCAGGGCGCGCAGGCGCTGCGGACCATCGTGGTGGAGGGGCGGCGGTCTCATCAGCAGACGGTCACGTGGACGTGGCCCGCGCCCGACGAGGCACCGGAGGAAGCTCGGATGTGGGAGGCAGTCGAGACCATCGACTGGTAGCTCCCACCGCTGATGCACCCGCGCGATCTGCAACGCACATCCGCGAGAGAAGCAGCGAAACGCGTCGCGGAGGCGGTCGGTCGCGAGGAGCAGAAGGCGACGACCGAGGAGGATCGCGAGCCCCAGGAGCCCACGGAGGTTCTGGAGAAGGGGCCATGAGTGGCCAGCACCGCCGGAGACGCGGCGCCATCCTCCAAATTCGCGCGGCAGACCTCGTGTCCGGAGCCGCGAGCCCCACCGGAGTGGCCGACTGCGGAGGCAGCAGTCGGAATGGGCGTGATGTGCTACCGCATCAAGGTAGCAGTGGACCGGGTGCGGGTTCTTAGGGCCTAATAAAGTGGGTCCCACACGTAAGACCAGCTTTTTTTATTTGAGGGGTCACAACATAACACAAAAAAAAAGTGGCCAGCAGAAAAAACAAGGCTGCCGCAGGCGTATGGCGGCGGGGGTCACTCCCCGGAACATGCGGTCCAGGGTCAGCACCCCGAGACATGAAAGGGGCATCATGATCATGGTGTCGCTGTAAAGAAAAAGGATTTCAGTTACAGGAGAATTGCAAATGTCAAGTT